TTCTAAGAAAAACCGATGGGACTACTTCAGACCATTTTTTCGTAAAGTTAACTAATGTAAGACAATTCCAGAGTAGTGTCTGAGACGAAAGTGAAAGTTCTAGACGGAATTAAACTGTTTATCTGACGTGTAAGCCCATTTTTCGGTCTGGGAATGTGACTAAATTTATTATTAGCTATATACAAGAAAGTTTGAGAAAACCAAAAGCGAACCTTAATGAAAGTGAATCTAATGTAAAATAAGGACGACCATTTAATTTATAAACAAAAATTAAACTTAATTTTTTTTTCTACGTGTATTATTATTAAAACAAATCGCCACCATATTAAGTGAGATAAATATAAAGTTTGTTTTTTATTAATCAACTGAGTAAAATTGTGTTTAATTTCAAAACATAATTTCTATATTGATTACCATTAAATTATATTTACATTCTTACAGTAATTAAATGACTAAGTAAAATATAATAACAATAAAATGTCTATAAACCCATTGCGAGTTTGTTCAGATAATTTGGTACTCTATGAAATGTAATACTAAGTTTTTACAGCAATTTAGTGAGCTTGCTCATAAGTTGTTATTAGGTGAATTCAAAACGACTGAACAGATCTGGCTAGATAGATTACTGCCTACGTAAAATTTAGCATCATGAATTAATTAAGAGTGAATACTCCATTACTACTAGTTCATATTAATTCTTGCTCTAATTTATTTATTCCTGACTTATATAGATATATATATATATATATATATATATATATATATATATATATATATATCCTGATATTTATATGTTATTTGCTGTCGCCCGCGACTCCGTCCGTACGGGATTAAAAATAGATGTTGGCCGATTCTCAGACCTACTCAACATGCTCACAAAATTTCATAAGAATCGGTCAAGCCGGTTCGGAGGAGTATGGGAACGAAAATTGTGACACGAGAATTTTATATATAAGATATACCTATCTATGTTATTCTCTCCTGTCCCACTGGGTTGCCTGGAAGAGATCGCTTGTAGCAATAAGCCCGTCCTTGCTTTGTAAATTAGTTAATTGTCATTTTTTTATGTTGTATGATAGCATTAAGAGTAAATAAATAAATGTTTTTCTTCAAGTTGTAAATGGTACGTTGGTAACTAGAACATGCAATAGCATCAAAAGATAATTTAACAGTATTTTGTTGTCATGTTGAGCTAAAATCCTTTATCATTTGCATTATTCACTACGCTTTGTTGTGAGGAGACACTTAAAATGTAAATTTATACGAACTGAGAAATGCATTTTGCTCAACAATTGTGATAAAGTTAATATTTTGATAGACGAAATTAAATTATTTAAATGTATTATATTACCAAAGAAACTTAAATTCGTTTGATTTATTATTAACCCAAGTCAATAAAGTTTAAATTCAACATTTAGACAAAAAGGATCCATAGTTTTGCTAACATAATGAAGTTCACAGTGAATTGTACAATACATAATACAAGAGAAAATTGTAAAAATTTTGGCAATTTTTATTATATCTTAGAAAAAAGTTTTAGTAAATTAACTGAAGGAACATTATTGTCAAGTAAATTAAAGAGAAGTAAGATTACTATCAAAGGAGACAAAAGGTTGCTTGTCGAAATATGTGGTCCGAAAAAAAATATTTTATTGACTTAATCAGACTTTTACTTGTTATTTTTGTAGAAAACTATTGCGAGAAGGGAAAACATTTTTAATAAAATCCTTCTGATAAGTTAGGTAAGTAGAAAACTACAGAACGTAACGTGTAGAAACTGTTTTAAGTTATTTATTCTACTTATTTATACTTAATTTATGAGTATTTGACATATTTATGAATAAAGGAAATGTGCAAATGCCGTACAAAATAATAACTTCATAATTCAGTCGGATGTAGGTCGTTTAAAACAATTGATTACTTACAGTTTTAACGTTATGTGATAACGTTATATCATAGTTTAACAACCGTATTAAAGATTCGTTAAGTGTAGAATTAATATAATCTACAATCACTTAGTGACCAGTTAACGTGTCTGAGTGGAACAGTAATTTGTGTTATTTAATACTGTGAGAACAATTTTGTTCAACTACAATTCCGTGCAATGTCAACGCAAACAACTTACAAAGAGCTTTCGCTTGAAAGCTCATTAAAGCAGAGACGGTAATGTCGGTCGCTTTGCATTTCTATTCTATCCTGTTCATTCCTTGTGTGTTTCTATTCTAAATGTAAACAAGAATTTTACTAATAAAGCTTTTTATTATTTTCTTTTTTCATAAGAAAAAATTGTGTTTGTAAGTTTGTTGTCTATGCGTTCCTAAAGCTTTTAAATAAATTTTTGGTATGGTTTATTGCGTCATTTTGGCCAAAAAATGAAATCCTTAGTTTTCTTTTTGCATCGTGTATACAAGGAAAATGTTAATAAAAATGTTTCCGCCCGGGATCGAACCGGGGACCTTGTGCGTGTGAAGCACACGTGATAACCGCTACACTACGGAAACTTAACATCGTATATTAAATCCATTAGTTATATTAGTAAAGTAAAACTACACAAATTAAAATAAACCAAGAAACTTATAAATACAATAATTTTAACAAATTAAAATTATCGTGTCACTATACTAAAAAAGACTGAAAACCACAACACTTCATCTACTTTGTACACAGCTTTTAAACAAGGCAAAGTATTACCAAATCTACGCTTCAGATTCGTGTCTGCAATCCAAATCCATTTGTAAATTACGGCGTCGTTACGAACACAAATTTTGCAATGCAATGTGATTTTTTAATTCCATTTTCCGTTTTGCTCTTTTTTTTAGCATTTTTAAATGGATGTAAAATATGTCAGATGGACTAATATATAGAGAGATTGTAAAAACTACAGGCATTATTATGTGTTCAAACAATATTATAAGTATACGAAACATTTTTTCATTTGGAGTAACTAAAAAAAATATCTTTAATTTACATTTATACACATAACTTGCTACTGTCTAGGTTATTCACATTTCATTTAATGGGTATAAAAAAATCCAGGTCATGCGTGTTGGGGTCGGGGGATGTGTTTGCTTAGCCGACGCCTGTAATGTTGTGTGCCGGATGCTGCGTCACGCACGGAACAACACGATGCCAGTTATATACGAAGGAGCGAGTTAGGCAGAGCAGGAGACAGAGACAGTACTGCTACCAATTATTTGAATGCACATTTACCTTTCTTTTTTGCATCATAAGGTGGCAAGCGAACGGCCACCTGGAATCGCTGAAATAGTGAAGTGACCGTTGTCCATAGACATACGCAATTGCATACGTTGTCTACGTACGTTGCCTACCTTAATCGACGGAGGAGAGGATGCACAGAAATAAAATATTTTCCCTTCCCATGCATCCTCTCATCCGGAAAGTTCCCTTCCATTTCCCATCCCTTCCTTATAAGGAATAGGGTGGGAAGGGAAAGGAGACTAAATTAGGGCTCCGGGACGCACACTCATCAGACGAAACGCGGAATTGGTTCCACTTTGTCTTCTGTGTGGTCGTGGTATTTCACCGGGCGAGCTAGGCCAATTCGTGCGAAGATATTAAACCGGGCTCTACCACTGTTACAATGAAAACTACTGTTCTGTCTCTATGTATGCGTTCAAGAAATAGGAGTACTGTTCTACTATACTCTTCTGTCCTACTGTTCTGCATGTGAAACTAACATTAATTTGAATTTTAGTGTGAACATTTCAAGCTCTCAGCAGTGCGTGTATTACATGGCTTAAAAAAAATTTAAGTTGTCATATGTTCACCAAATTTATTTGTTGTTAGTTGATAAAGTATTCATAACACCAAATATTTTTGTATAATTTTACATAATAAAAAAGGAATTTAAGCTGTTGCAAATACATTCTATCTAATATTTTCTTTGTCATTGTTTCTTCCTACAATTTAAGAGACTTGTTTCATTTATCTAAAACTTTAACAAACAAAAATCTTATATCTTTAAATGAGCAATTCTTGTATTGCAATCTCGGAATCGGCTCCAACGATTTTCATATAATTTAGTATATAGGGGGTTTCGGGGGCGATAAATCGATCTAGCTAGGAATCATTTTTAGAAAATGTCATTTTATTCGTGTTTTATCGATAATCAACTTAAACAAAAACTTAACTTTTTCTATCGGTAAGATCGAAAAATATTATTCATATTTCATCATTTTATTAGTAATTCGTACTTAAATATGATTTACAAAAAACACAATAAAAAAAAAAATACCGTGCAAAGCTCTTGACTTCTTGCTTCAGTACTTGAAAATTCGGGGCTAGCTTCTTCTTCTTCTTCTTCTTCTTCTTCTTCTTCTTCTTCTTCATCTTCTTCTTCTTCATCTTCTTCATCTTCTTCTTCTTCATCTTCTTCTTCTTCATCTTCTTCTTCTTCTTCTTCATCTTCTTCATCTTCTTCTTCTTCATCTTCTTCTTCTTCTTCTTCATCTTCTTCATCTTCTTCTTCTTCATCTTCTTCTTCTTCATCTTCTTCTTCTTCTTCTTCTTCTTCTTCTTCTTCTTCTTCTTCTTCTTCTTCTTCTTCTTCTTCTTCTTCTTCTTCTTCTTCTTCTTCTTCTTCTTCTTCTTCTTCTTCTTCTTCATCTTCATCTTCACCTTCACCTTCATCTTCATCTTCATCTTCATCTTCATCTTCATCTTCGTCTTCGTCTTCGTCTTCGTCTTCGTCTTCGTCTTCGTCTTCGTCTTCGTCTTCGTCTTCGTCTCCGTCTTCGTCTTCGTCTCCGTCTTCGTCTTCGTCTCCGTCTTCGTCTTCGTCTCCGTCTTCGTCTTCGTCTTCGTCTTCGTCTTCGTCTTCGTCTTCGTCTTCGTCTTCGTCTTCGTCTTCGTC